TAGTGTGCTTTAGCGATGCCTCGGCGGACTCCTCTCCCCCACTCTGACATATTCAGCTACGGCTTTCATCTTCCCAGGATGCCACACGTTCACCCCAGGTAGGAAAGGAGGGCACTGTAGAGTGGGTGGGGCCTGTATCCAGACAGCGAGCCAGACGTCCTCTGCTTATTTCTCCTGGACAGTCAGTGTCACACAGCCGTGCTCAGGTGCTGTGGAGTCCGTGTGTACGTGAGCACCGTGCACGCTGCCCTTGTTCCAGGCCCCCACATCGGGATTGCGTTAGTGAGAAGAATGTGCGGATTGATGCTGTGGGTGGGCAGATCAGCAGGCCCTACTAATTGCACTTAAAAGCAGAGACAGGAGAAGCCAAAATAGAGCGGTAAGTGGTCATGAGTGGAGTTAACCTGCTTCCTAATTGTTCTGGAGGCTGGCCTTCATAGGGAGAGAGAAGAGATCGCCACTCTTTACAACTCCAGACACTCGGCGAGAGAGGCTGCTGTTTCACCTGCGGGAACAGCAGTTGTTTGGATTTGTGGCCAGCAGTTCCCTTTGGTCCTCAGGGATCAAGACAAGGTCCATAATTCACAGTAACTAAATCTGAAACACTAGCCTCAGTGCTGAGAACGCACTCTCTCCTGCAAAAACCGCAGAAGCGATTAGCAGTGGGACAGAAACAGATTAAGAAGGGCTCCTTCGGATGAGTTTGTTTACATGAACTCCCCACAACCCAGAAGAAGGGATCATCATTTATTTTTGCCTCTTGGCCTTGGGCCTGTTTTTTTTTTTCCCTGAGTATCTCTGCCTGTTGGCTTAACTCTCCAGCTCAGGGAGTTTTTCACTTTCTACATGTACTTGGGAATAGGCTCCAGCTTGGAGAGAAAATAAATATCTTTATCTTAGTCCTCCAAAGGCCACCTTTTGAAAAGAAAAGCCAGGCCTGCCCTGCCTCAGGCACTGGGGAGTTACGAAGTGCAAGAGGGACCCTTTACGCAGTAGCCCTTGAGCAAGCTCGCTGCCTCCAGCCTTCTGCCGGGGAAGGGTGGGGCTGCCATAGCTCACAGAGACCTTTCTTGTTTCCCAGCTCCAAGGAGTGGGTTGCGCCCATCAACACTACAGGTGGGTCCTACGAAATTGCCAAACAAGCAGCTGCACAGCCCAGGGACTTTGAGCTGTTTGCAGCTCTCCTCTCTTTGTACCCCTGCCAACTCACACACACCTGGGGTTTTACCAGCTGCCCGCCCACTGCAGCCCCCTTTCCACCATGTGACCTAATCCTCACTCCACCTGCTCCTTTCAGGGCACCAGCCCTATTCCCACCTTGCCGAAATCAGGCCCAGGGAGGTTTGAACAAGAGCTCCGTTGTTCATGCCTAACACAGCCGACTCCCACTAATTTCATGGCAAATTCTGAGGGATTAAGATTTACTGCAGAGAAAGGCTGGAGCTGACAATTAATCAGCTTGATCACTTGGGGATCAAATTGAATCGTACATGAGACCTTGGCTCTGAAATGGAACCGTCTCTCTCTTTGGCATGGTGCGCGTATTGGACTGAGAATACAAACATTGCTGTCCCCACCTTTCTTCTTTGCATACAGATGTCGGTTTGTAAGTTTAAAACACAGCAAGGACTGAGGCAAAGACTGAGGCAGTCTGGCTGTTTAAAATGATGCAGGGCTTCTATTTCATTCAGCAAAGAGCTATTTGTGCAAGAAGTCTCTCAGGTGCTGGGGCAGTAGCTCTGAATAACCTCAGATCTGTGTCTTCAGGAAGGTCAAAATCCAGTACAGGACCTGGGAAGGCTATTCCTAAAAATTTGACCATCTAGCACTGGGAGAACAAAAATCTACAGAGATTAGTAATTCTGACTGGGGATGAACAATGACTCCACAGAGGAAGTGGCACCTGAGCCTAGTTTTGAAAGAACTGAGTGGTAGTTCGTACTTTCTCTCTTTGGCCAGACACGGTGAAATGACCTGCAGTTGGGACCTTTTCCTAAATTGTGCCTGACACTGGTCACACCATCACTGCTGCTGACATTCTCTGCATGACTGCAGTCCAAGGCTACAGGCGGCAATCACCTTTGAAAACTGCCAACAAACATGAATAACTCTTCTGGTGCCAACTTTTCTCAAGGAAGTAATAAAGGTACTCTTGTAGCCAATGGCAGTAAGCATGAAAGTCTCTTTTTGGCTCCCTCCTGCCTTGTGACTTTGGACATAATATATCAATTCATTGCCTTTACAAACGTGGTCTCTTTACCATGGTGTTAATCAATCAACAAATGAGTTGTAAGCACTTACTATGCTCTTGGTACTTATTCATTGCCACTTCTCTGAGTCACAAAAGTGCAGAAAAGATGAAAAATAGGGAATAGAAGGTACGATAATGGCAACATATAAGTAAAGAAACAGCCTCGTGATCTTAAAACAAAGTGTCATTTTCAGAAATCACAGGAGCAGCCAACAAGTTTGTAGTTTTCCAAGTTTAGAATTCTACTAAATTTTCTAGTACCTTTCAACGCCCCCACTCCTCCCTAAACACACACACACCGCCACCTCTGTTCCTCTCTCAATCACAGATCACTGACTGTGTAGACTAGTAGGCCTCCGTCCTCTGCACCAATATATCTGGGTTTCTTTTTGGAAACACAGAGGATTACATTTCTTTAGCTCCTTGAGTTTAGGCATGGCCATATGTCTTGCTGTTACTAATGAAAAGTGAGTAGAAGCCTTGGCTGGTGTGGCTCAGTGGATTGAGCACTGGCCTGGAAACCAAAAGGTCCCTGGTTCAATTCCCAGTCAGGGCACATGCCTGGGTTGCAGGCCAGGTCCCCAGTAGGGGGTATGAGAGAGGCAACCACACATTGATATTTCTCTCCCTCTCTTTCTCCCTCCCTTCCCCCTCTCTAAAAATAAATGAATAAAATCCTTTAAAAAAAGGAAATGTGAGTAGAAATGGCATTTCTTATCTGTGTCAAAACATCTCTTCACCAGTGCTCAGTTACACATCATATTCTGCCTCGGCTTCACGGAAGCATACTCCCATGAGGAGGTGTCTTGCTGAACCATCTGAAGGGGGGCAGCTTCCCTAAAGAGTCACCAAAGTGCAGTGGCCTATACTTCAGTGAAAACCTGAAAACAACAACCTTTTAAATTTCTTTGAAAGCCACTGAGATTTGGGGGTTGCACGTTACTGCGGTATAACCTAGGCGTCCCAACTAATGCAAAAACTGATTAACCATCATTAACTGTTAACGTGTAAGAGATCGGAGTAGATAAGATCACACACCCCTTAGGTAAGACTGACAAACGGGAGTCATCTCAAGGTATTTCTGTGCATATTTCTAATGCCCTTCACATACAGGCCTGCAGCAATCACTTAAATTATCTCATCTCAATTCTCACAACAGCACTGTCTGGTAGCTAACTCACACTCCACAGATGAGAGTTAGAGTTCAAGCAATTTGCCCAGGACCACATACAATTGGCCGGTGTGATGCCAAAGCCCAGGTCCTTCCTCTTCTTCTCTCTGCCTCTCAGGATGCTTATCTACATTGGCCCCTTCTGGTTGTATTCCATACACAGTCACTAAAGCTAAAGCCCACCCGGACCGGGTACTTAGTTTCTCTTTGTTTCAGTGATTTCTACCCTCATTCCCACCTGAATTCTGAATCACGTATCTAAGGACATCAGTGTCAAAGAAACCAAATAGAAAAATGTGGACTGAATGGAGTAAATCTACCCCAACTTTTGGAGAATCGAACCAGATAACTGGCCAACGGAGTCATCATTATGTGCAAAAACCAAGCAAGACTTTTATGGAACACATAAACTAAACAAATAAACAAAACTCCAGAATTTCTAAAACTCTAAAAAGGTTGTCCACTGTTCTCTTTTCCTAGGAAAGGTGGTTGTAACGAAACCAAGAGAAGTGTTTATCAGTCCTCTAACTTCATGATCTCCAATAAAGTTTCCATAATGTATTTCATGTGGCGATTTGTTTTGCTTGTACCCCTAACTGTGGTTAAACTGCCCATGTGGCCCTGCAGTCCAGCATCAGGTTATACGGAGGACAGTGCAGCTGTATGAGAGGACAGGGACCATGATGGTCTTGTCCATGGATGCATCTCTGCCTACTACGAGCCTGAAAGGCAGGAAGCAGTTAGAGGCATTTGTTACATAGGCAAAGTTAAAGAACTGTTGACTAGTGACAGAGATTATAAAATAAAAACAGAAATAAGTATGATTTTACAAAACTAAAAGACTTTGCTGCCCTGGATGGGTAGCTCAGTTGGTTAGAGCATCTTCCTGATATGCCAAGGTTGCAGGTTTAATCCCCAGTCAGAGCATATGCAAGAAGCAACCAATAAATGCATAAATAAGTGGAACAACTAATGCATTCTCTCTCTCTCCCTTACCCCCCTCCCACCACTTCCTTGAAAAAGTCAGTACATTTAAAAAAGGAAAGAAAGAAAGACTTGCTTTAGCCAAAGACATGAAGGATTGCCACCTAAGATCTGGTTGTACAATCATAACTAGGTTGCGGAGGTTTGCTTGTCTGAGGTCTGAATTCAAAAGTGGAAAATGAGTCCTCCCTGTACATTTACGTGGAACTTCAGGTTTTTCTGTTTTGTGCATCTTAAATATTAGTAAGAGTTCTAATACTATTTCTAATATATTCCTTTGGTGAAGGGAGAAATTTAAATTGGGAGCTTTTGGAGGATTTCAGTTGGTGGTGTACTAGCATCTGGACTTGGCTTTTGCGAGTGGAGGCAAAAGCTCAGCAAGCAGAGGACATGCACTGCAAAGCGAGATGCCAATGTAGCAAGAGGCTGCTTGAGGAAGCACACATTCCTCTTTGAAGGTCATCAATTGATTCAACAACATCCCCATTCCGCCCCCCCCCCCTGCCCTGGGCCGCTGGTCTGCTAGAAGTATCCATTGCTTTAAAAAATGAACAGCTCTTTATTTAGTAAGTCTGATTTCAATGTGTGCAGCATCATTTCATAGTGAAGGTAAAAGATAAAAGTTACCAGAGAGATTTAATCAAATATAATATATATGAGCCTGTGTGGTAGAGATTATAAAGATGTAAGATAGATCATACACATATACACATGTCACAAGAGTTCAGCTCTAGAAATATGACTGCTTTCTTTTGTGTTATTAAGTCAGCTCCAAACCCATAGCTCAATTTCCCTCCCTTTCTGCAGTTAGTTGTTAGCATGTGTGTAGGGGTTTTTTAAATGACTTTATTTATTTTATTTTTAGAGAGGAGAAAGGAAAGAGAAAGAGAAGGAGCAAAACATCAATGTGTGGTTGCCTCTCACCTGCTACTTTCAGAGGACCTGGCCCGTAACCCAGGCATGTGCCCTGACTGGCAATCAAACTGGAGACCCTTTGGTTTTCAGGCCTGCGCTTAACCCACTGAGCCACAGCAGCCAGGTAGTTTAAAGAGATGTTTAAATAAATGCTTTGTCCACTAGAGCAGGGATGTCAAACTCATTTTCACTGGGGGTCACATCAGCCTTGAGGTTGCCCTCAAAGGGCCAAATGTAATTTTAGGACTGTATGAATGTAACTGCTCCTTAACTAGGGGCAAGGAGCTCAGTGCTGCCGCCAGGTAGAAACAAGGTGCCAGGCCAGATAAAACAAGGTGGAGGGCTGGACTGAGCCCCCAGGCCTTGTGTTTGCCACCTGTGCGCTAGAGTGATAAAGAACGGAATTGCAGTCAGGGGCATGCATGTCTAACCACCTCGTGAGCTCCTTGCAGGCAGACTCCACATCAGACCAGTTTTTAAGAATCATTACAGTCCTGGTTGGTGTAGCTCAGTGGATTGAGCACGGGCCTGCGAACTAAAGGATTACAGTTCAGTTCCCAATCAGGGCACATGCCTGGGTTGCAGGCCAGTTCCCAGCAGGGGAGGCACGAGAGGCAACCATACATTGATATTTCCCCCCCTCCTCCTTCCCTTCCCCTCTAAAAGAAAAATAAATACAATCTTAAAAAAAAAAAGAATCATTACAGCATTTGGTCTTGCATTACACAGTAAGGGCCTGCCAAGTGAGCTAAGTATATACTTGTATCGCATAATAAGGTCAAGTTTATATTTGTGCAAACTCTACAACAAGTACATCACTGGCCTTTTTTCTTTATTAAAGACTATTTTAGAGCAGTGTCAGGTTCACAGCAAAGTTGAGAGCAAGGTACAGAGAGTTTCCCATACACTGGTGCCCCCACACGGGCACAGCCCCCCCACTGTCAGCATCGGCCACAACAGCCGCACCTGTGTTGCAGCTGCTGCGCCCACACTGACAGTCACCCACAGTCCAGACTTCACCTCGGGGGGCACCACTGGTGTGCATTCTATGGGTTTGGGCTGACAGGTTTTTGAAATTGGAAACTCGGTGATTTTGCTTTTAAAATTTACTGGGTTTGGTTTTAGATTCATTATGAATAATGCTTAATTTTCACATTTTTAAAATTTCAACAGAATCACAAACTTACAGAAAATTAGAGCTACAGTACAAAAAACTTTTCTGACCCATCTGAGGGTAAGTGCCGCCCCGATGCCCCATCACCCTGAAATCCTTGGTGTCGATTCTCTACATGACCCTGGTTCCACCATCAAAGTCTGGGATTTAACAGGGGGGCACTGGCACCCTCCATTCCTCAGACCCTATTCGGGATTCTCCCATCTTCTCCTCAGTGTCTCGACGTTGCAGCAAGAGGATCCAATCTATAATCACACCTTGCATTTCGTTAGCACCCATCTTCCCCTTTCTTCTGTTGGAAGGAGCTCTTCAGTCCTTCTTTGCTTTGCATGAGCCTGACACACTTGGAAGCGTACAGGGCAGTTCCTTTGCGGAATACCCCTCCATTTGGACTTATTGCTGCTCTCTCCTGATTTGATTCAGGTGCTAAATCTTTGGCGAGAATAAGGCAGAAGCGGTGCTCTGTTCTCCCGTCCTGACGGGTGGTGCTCCGTTTCAGTCTGTCCCCCTCAGTCGCTGTCTGGTTCGGTTGCTTACGATAATGTTCACCAGGCTTCTCCACTGCAAAGGCACCATTTCTCCCTTTCCGATGAGTAAATACTCTGTGGGGAGATATTCTGTTGCTATGTCAACATCTCATTCCTCGCCCAAGTTTTACTTTATTAAAATGTAAGTTTTCATAGGCTCCTGTTTTATTTGCTCTGTTAAATCTATTTGTACCATTATTTCGCTTAATGCTGAACTTGTCCTGCACTTGGCAGCAGGAGCCCATTCAAACGTGATTCTGTGCTTTTTTACACGACTCCATCATTCCTTGGGCACTTCCTTGGTTGCTGGCACAAAGCGGGTTTCAGGCTCATCTTGTGCTTCATTCACCTGCCCACCCCAGAATCAGCCATTTCTCTAAGAATCCCTGGTTCCATTCAGTGGAGCAGCCAACATCCTCCCCTACATGTGTTCGTTCTGCCAGAAGGGCTGCTCCCAGTCGCCCTCAGTGAACAGAGGGAGTGAATGTAGGTGCAGGTCCACGTGTGCACACATACGTTTCTATTTTCGTTTGTGTTACACGTCCGTATGTATTTCTGTATCTATCATCCGTAAGTATTTCTGTATCTATCTATATACTGCAGATCATGAGTTCAAACTAATTTCTCCACTTCCAGTGCAACCCCACAGGTGCATTCTAGTTTTTTTCCCATCACATAGTTGTCATTTGTACCTCCCTTCTCCGGTACTGAAAAACGTATAAACTGGGAACTGAACTGTGTCCCCGATTCTGAAACTCATAGGGTGAAGCCCTGTCCCCCAATGGGATGGCGTTTGGAGATGGGCCTTTGGGAGGTGACTAGATTTAGGTGAGGTCATGAGGGTGGGGCCCCTGTGGTGGGGTTAGTGCCCTGCGGAGCCCAGAGCTCCGGGCCAGGTGCAAACAGAGCAGCCAGGTGTCTGACAGCCAGGGAGAGACCCCAGCAGAACTGGATCTTGTGGTCATGCTGATCTCAGGCTTTTGGCCTCCAGACCATAAAAATGTCACATCTTGTTGTTTCAGCTACTTAGTCTGTGGGATTCAGATATGACAGTGTAAGCCGGCTAATACACACAGTTTCTGTTACTCTTAATACACTTATTAAACTGATCTGGGGTGCCCATCATAGAGACACCCTCGTCACCTTACTTGGGCCCTGATTTCCCACTCTGAGCCATAATGTCTCACTCCTTCCCTCCACTGTGACTCTGGCCACTTCACTCTGCTTCACCTAATGGCTTTGGGAAAGAATTATTAAGGAAGAGAAGGAGATACATGTTGTTTAGTTCCCTACACTATCACTTGATCATTTGGAGAGGTGAGTTTCATCAAACACAAGTCTGAAAAGTTCATTATAATCACATATTTGAAGCTGGAAGGAACATTAAAGGTAATCTAATTCAACTATCTTATTTTTTTAGTAACTATTCAGTTCCTAGGAGTAATTTTCCTACTTAGACTAAAGAGAAATTGAGTCTTATAAAAAAAAAAACTCTTGCATTAATGGAGCTATGATTATCAAGAAGCTTCTGGAATGAAACCACTGCTTTATAGAAACTTCTTTTTATTTGCAGAAGCTCCATGGTTACCTGAAATGATGGAAGAACTAATGCTGCATCGCAGTGTTAAGTAACTAATGGCTACTTACGTCATTTCTTCATTCCATTCAATGTAATTCTCCTGCCCCTCCTCTGATTTCCAGCAGAGGGACTTGGAGAATCAAACAAACTGCATCATGGCTCAAAACTGTGTTTTGTGAAGAAGCGAAATCAGGAAGGGGCACTAGTGTTATTCTTCAAACTAACGTTGGACTAAGAGAAACTGAATTAACTTGATTATTACCTCCCACTCCCCCCCAAACACACACCAAAACAAGATGTGTGATGTAACAAGTGTAGATGCACTTACAGGAGACCATGGCACAGGCAACTCCAACGAGGCTGCCGGGAGGGTCTAGGCTGCACGGTGACCGCACAGAAGTGTCTTACTGGGGAATTACGAAGGACAGGGCTGTAGGAGAGACTACAGACAAGTGTGTGCCTTTAAGATGAAGCCGATTTAGGGATGGGGTGACAGACAGAGGTAAACCCGCGATGCAGAGAGAAGCAACAGAGGAACCAATGCCTTCAGGAGCCTGATCTGACTGGGCAGTGGAGGAACTTAGGAAGGTGCTGGCAGCGCAGAGCCTGCCTGGTGAAAATGAATGGACTTCTGACTCTCTGGCCCCACCAAGTCTTTTAGATGATGCAGTTCAGATAGCTGTGAGATCAATGGCAAATACAACAGAAAACCCAGTGACAGTAGCTTACTAGCTACTGTCTGTCATTGGGTAATGACACATGGAGTTTTTGTATTAGTGGTTTCAAGGTTAGAGGTTGGCAGTGGCTTAAGAGCTCAAAAACAGGATCAGTGTCTCCGGATTCTCTTCATGGTTCCCAGAGGGCTCTCAGCGCTCCAGGCGTCACCTCTGCATTTAAGACAGGAAGAAAGGGAAAGTGTGTCTAGAGACATATTTGTCATGCTTTATCAGAGAAACAAAAACTTATCCAGACCCCTGCTCCATCACCACCCCCGGCAGATCCGCTGAGCACTGGCCTGAATTTCCACATCATCCCTTCTATCCACACGGGAAGCTGGAAAGTGAATAGTTAACTTTCCCAGCTTCTATGGTAGAGACAAGAAGGGGAAAAGGGATTAAGAGTGGGTGTAAATCAATCTATTTGTCTGCCACAGAAAACTGATTGATTATTTTCCACTTATCATTTGGAATACAAAGGAAGTATCAGCTGGAGATAGAAAACAATTTTTTAACCCTCACCCGAAGATATTTTTATTGATCTGAGAGAGAGAGAGGAACAGAGAGAGAAACATCGATGTGAGACAATAACATTGACTGGTTGCCTCCCACAGGTGCCCTGACTTTGTTGTCAAACCTACAGTGTGGGTTTGTGCCCTGACCTGTGATTGAACCCACAACATTTTGGTGCACCGGACAACACTCCACCAACTGAGCAGCCCAGCCTGGGCTACAAAAAAACTGTAACCACCCAGTCAGGCTACTGCGGCAGACAGGAAGGCCTCTGTCCTAGCAGATCTTCAAGCTGAGAAATACTCAATATTATGTGTCTCGGAAGACTTAGACATTCAGGTGCCTGAAGCCTGGAGCAGGTGACCTTGTTAGGTCCATTGTTATTTATTCACTATTTCAAAGCTATACATTCCCTACCTCTTAAAGCCCCGTGAAACACAAACAACACAAGAGGGTTACCCTTCCCCGTCAGTCCTCCTCCCCTTCTGTCTCCTTCACTGGAGAGAATTCCAATGGCACTTTGCTTTTAGAGGCTGTAAGGGCAATACTGTTCTTATTATTCAAGACTAGTTTCAGGTATGTCAAGAAAAAAAAAACCCAACTGGATAAATGAGGTATAAGTAAAAGATCAGGAAATCAAGATTTGTTTAGTTTACTAAAATGCATTGGGATAAAGCTAAAAATTGACCTAAGACCCTATGAGGTGGATGCAAAGTAATTTACTTGACTACGATGTGGGCATTTTACAGCAGAGTCGCACAACTTTCCTAGACATAATATTATACAAGATCATGTGTTATGCTTGCTTCTTAAGTAAACACATTTGTAAATTACTTGGCAAACGTGCAGAGAGCCCAGGGTTTATTTCTGCTTCACATTACACCGGAGTCTTGGCTGCACCAGGTTCCATAATGGCAACAACTAACCTTTTCCAGACAATCGTTCATGCCCTGGGGCAGAGAAGACAATGTAGCATTGTGAACTTACACAAGATTTGCAAATGTGATGCAATTTTGATGTACCAGGGGTCTGAACTTCACAAACCCACCAGAAATTCTGGCTAGCCTATACTCGTCAGCCAGAAAGCAAGAGGAAGATTGGGGTCAAGACCCTTTTCCTAACCACTGTTGAAGACGATCTAAAAGATACTTTTTCCCCCTCTGGTCTTTTAAATGACCAGGACAATTGGGATTGGTTTCACAATAACGAAACAAATCATCTCTTTCTTACACATTCATTTTTATGACATTACTAGGTTAGTTCAGGGAAACTTACTTGCTTCTAGTGCCTCTGTAGAGTTTCAATAGCTAAAGCTTCTTGTTTTCACTGTGCACCAGGCTCTATGCGAGGTGTTCTGTAAGTTTTCTCAAATTCACGTCATCTATTCAACAGGTTTTTACTAAGCACCTGTTTATGAGCCGGTATCCGAAGTCTTGGAGGTATAAGCTATTGCAAACCCTCACAACGGTACAAAGTAGCTGTTATTATCTACATTGCAAAAATTGAGAAACTAAGGCCCAGAGAAATAAACAACTTCTCAAGGTCACACAGACAGTCCGTGGCAGGCTAGGTTGAACGCCAGGTCTTTTTCACTCCATGCTCCACACTTTATACCCAGTATCTTGCTGCCTTCCTGCTGTCAACTGGCCTTATTGTAAAGTCCCATCATGGTAAATGCATGAAATCTTTTTTGAGACTACGATTCTCGATCCTTTACAATTACTTTGGAAAGACAGTTAATGCTAACAGTGTGAGAATTAAAATACTACTCTGCCTTTGTTAATCTGGTATAAAAGTTCACTTGGTTCTTTCCTTCCCAAACCTATCATCTTCAAAATCTGATTCCAGAAACCTCTAAGCTGTAGGAATGCTAGCCCACACGTCCACTAGCTGTCCCACAGGCCAGCCCGAGCCCGGGACTCAGTCGGGTCCCGGAGGCATGTCTGCAGAGCAGTGAGGAAAGAACTCTGCGTCTGCAAGCAGGAGCCGAGTTCCTGACCCGCTTGCTCCTCGTCTGCATAAGCTTAAATTGGGTTAAATTCTGTGTGCTCCAAGTTCAGGGGTGTGAGAAACAAATGAGACAACTTAATATGAGAGTGGGTGGGAAGTAATATGTAAAGCAAAGCAAAACCGAAAGGACTGAAAATTAAAGGCGGCATGAAAGAATACCTCAGCTCGACCGTACAAAACTTCTCATAAAACATAATTTAATAAAAGACTCCAGGGAGAAATACTGAAATTAAGCGCTGTCTGTCACAGACCCTTTCGTACTGGTATCTGGGGCATAGATTCTGAGGAACGTTCATTCTTCTTGAGCATAAACACAACCATGGTCAAGAGTGGATCCTTCGTGCCTCACCAATTTTCTAAAACCCAAGTGTGGCAATTTAGCAGAGAAAGTTATCTGGCAGGACATCGGTCACAGCCTCTAAGTGGAAAGTTCACAGTGATTGGAGGAAAGTGGGGAGCAGGGGGCCAACTGCCATTTGGTTGGCGAACCCTGAACCACCTCCATGTGCCACAGCAGGTTTTAAAATGGCCCGAGACCCAGAGGGGCCGGCAGGAAGGAAAGGACCGGGACAACCGGTGTTGCTCTAAAGCCCTAGTGAAACAGTGGTAAGAACTCTCTGATCCGCTTCTCCAACGCAGAGGCAGGGCACATCCCTGGCCCCTTCTCCCCCCTTCCCAAAGCAGTTCTCCAAAATCGGGCCTTTACTCCTTTCCCTCAGCAGCGCACTCCACATTGCCAACCAGCTCACCGGTCTCCAGGTTTTACGTTGCCATTTCTAATCTTCTTACAACTCCTACTTGGAGAGATCATCCCTTAGTCAAAAGCACACTGTGTCTCCTAGAGACTGCTCTAGAAAGACAGAGCGGTGTCCTGCCAGGAGGGGAGCGAGAGGAACCGGGCTTCTCTTCTCACTAGCTAGACATCTTGGTCCAGGCCTTTTCCTTCTCTGAGCCTCAGCTTTGAGACATGGAAAAGTGGGGGTTACCCTTGCTTATTTTTTCCACACAAATCAAATAAGATGTTTGTGGAAATGCTTAAAAACACTCTACACATATAAACAGTCCATTCTCCCCCCAATGATCCCACGACAAATGCAGTCATTCAGCAAATGACTGTTGAATATCTGCGATGGCCCCACGGGATTGGGTCCTGGAGATACAACAATAAACTTGGCCTGTTCCCTGCATGCAGGCAGCTCACCTGCAGGGGAGGGGGGCACAGCATGCAAATGGACAATTAAAATACACTCTGCCAAATCTCCTAAGTGAACACAGAAAGGCGCCCAGCTCAGACTAGAGGGTTTTGCAGGGAGAGGGATAGCACGGGAGCTAAATCTGGAAGGATGACAGGGGCATTCACCAGGAAACAGAGGGGTAAAGGTCATTCCAGGGTATAAAAACTAGAAAAACGAGAGTGAGAGAGTGCAAGTCAGTATGTCAGTACGCTGGAGCCTACAGTGAAGAGAGCAGGGGGAGCCGGCACAGGAGGCTCGGGAGGGAGGCACGTCTTGGACGCATGCCGTCCACACACGGGAGTATCTGTACAATGCCCGTGAGTGCCAGGCGCTTTTCTAGTATGTCCCCCGTAGTAACACTTTTAAATCTCCCAACAACCCAGGAATCAGTCCTGTTACTACCCATTGCTTATGGGAGAGGAGCTGAGTGACTTGCCCATGGTCGCACAACTGGAAAACCTGCTGAGGAGTTGGGTCTAGCCCTGGGACGTTTGAGAAGACGTAAGAGATTTGCAGCAGGTTTTGAAGGACCGGTTCAGCTTTGCTTCTATGTGTCCTAGTGCCTGTCTCCAGGTTTTTAGATAATTTTCTGACAGTCTGCATTACTGATAAAGTATATGTCAATTTCTCATGTGGAAATTTATCTTGTTTGCTTACACACTTCATGATTAACTATCTTTTGGGTTTATCAATATAGTCATCCAGTAATTGAAGTCTTTAGGATAGAGTAGATTATAAATGGAAATTTATACTTAATGATCAATTAGCTTGGCTAATTTTGCTTATTCTGTTTTTCCTTAATCTTTTTGATGAATAGAAGAATCAGTGGACTTGAAAAATATAGAAACTTATAAATAAGACACAATATATACAAAAAGCCTTAAGCTATTGGGACTCCTGTTTTAGTAAATTCATTTCTAAGAGTTTATCCTACGCAGACAGTCAAACATACTAAGTTGCACATACAAAAACAGCGAAGTCCACCTGATGCTTGGGCACCGTGTAATCTTTTTAAACAAATTAGGTCTGATTAATTACCATCAGCTAGGGTTGGTGGGAAGCTCAATCATTTTTCTGAGCTCTAGTTTTCCTCCTCCATCCCTTGGGACTTGGGGGGATCCTTGGGCTTAAGCAGTACAAGAGTTTAGGAAGGGCGGTTCTGGGAGTTTTGCTCTCTAGACTCCATACACATTGTGAAGGCTAGCACCCCTGCTGGTGTTATCAAACCGTCTGGACCAAACTCAGCCACGGGAATGTGGAGTGAGTGGGCCATTCCAAGTTTTGACTCCTCCCACCCCCAACTCCCGAGCTCTTCTTCCCTCCTGGAAACCCTCATCTTGTCCCTAGTGTGGGACTATCTCACTCGTCTACTTCTGCACTGGCCCTTTTCCCGCCTGACTCTGGAAGTTCAAAGCCTTTAACCCTTCCCTATTTAGAACTCCCAGCTGACTCACCTCCCCGGAGCACACAAAAACAGGGCCTGTCGACTGCCCCTGGGACCCAGTCCAGATGGCCAGGCTCAGAGTCCCGTGAGGGTCCTTGGGAAGAGAAAGAAAGACCTGTTATTTTATAATGAACCCACAGCCCAGGACACAGGCCAAGTTTATTCTCAATGTATTCTGTCACGTTAACTTTTTTATGTCATTCAATTACACTTATAATAGTAAAAATCTGGAGAAACTTAAATATCCTTCTAATGGGGTTCTACATTGAAATAATATACAGCAATTAAAGGGCTCGGTTCTTAAAAACTGCTTCAGTGATTTGAAAACACACTCTTGATATACTCACTTTGGAAAAGAGGTTGCAAAGCAGAATAGGCAGTTTAGGTCCACTCTCTAGAATTTATTTACACATATTACATACACGTGCGATTATAGAATAGAAAAATCAGTGCATTTCCCCCTACACATATGCATTACTTTTGTGACGATACTCAGTGCATAGTGCCATGATGGTGTGTGCGCGCGTGTGTGCAGTATTAGCCCTTTTCCTTAAGTGAACACACTCAGGTGAGGCCTGATCTATCCTGACAGATTTATTGTCTGGGAAGAAGTAGTTAACTTGAAAAGGGAATAACAATGTGGGAAGCAGCATAGAACACACAGGAAGGGCAGGACAAAACTGGAACATTTATCAGGGCCACTGTACTATAGTAAGTTTTAAGTTCTTCTTGTTTCTTCTTTAGAGATCTAATAAAAGACAGAAATATATACTTTATTTTGGCCAACATCAGCTCTTAGGCAACGTGCAACTTTCAGAAATAGGCCTGATATTTTAATGTTGCGTTGGATGGTGAATCTTCGGTTTTCTGTTAGTTCGCTGTGTGATTGGGGGCAACCCAACAATCTCTCTGGAGGTTAGTTTCTTCTCCAGCACCTACTACACACCAGCTAGGCTCCCGAATATTTCCTAAACATTAAGTAAGTTAATCCTCATTCTACCCTATGAGGGATAATAAGCCTGCTCTCCTCACATACAGAAAACTGAGAGACAAAGAGGATTAAAACCTCATCAAAGGCCATACAGAGTGAGCAACAGAATCAGGATGCAAACCTCAGACTTCTTACGCCGAACTGAGCAGCGCTGACAGACCCACAGTTCCTCCTGTGGCAACGCCTGCACGGCCCCGGCACATTTCGCTCCACACTTTCCGAGTCTCTTTTTGTCCCCTCCATGTTCTTTTGGTCACCCAATTGAGAAAACTGTCATATTTATCCCAGAACTCATTCTGTGAAACAATGACTCTCCTTCCATTGGTCATCAATGTTTGAAGTTCTCTGTTTTACACTCCCCCTATCTCAGCACCAACCGTTGAATTCAGTGCAGTGAAAGAGATTGTGTCCTCAGGTAGCCCAGGAAAACGGTCCTGAGGGTCCCCATCTTCAGAGTGGTGATCCTAACCATCACCCACCTAACTCACCCCACTGCTGGCTTTCTGGCGAGGTTAAGTACAAAAACCAGTTTACCTGTTTGATATGCCAGGAGAGGGAGGGAGCCAGAGCAAGAGAGTTAATTTCACTTTTTACATACAGACCATAATGAGTATAGCGACTGCAAGAGTATAAATGGAGGACTCCATACATACCATATTTCTAAATATTTAAAAAGTACAAATCAAGCCAACATGATGTTGATTATAACAAATTCTACTCTCTTACCTTGACAGATACACCTTCCTAAGACCAGAATTAAACTTAGGAATCTCCCCTGGTAGAATGTGGCAGTAGCATGGACAGGTGCCTCCAGCCTGACCCCCTCCTCTGCCCACTCTCAGCTCTTTCTTGCACTAGGAACAGCTTCTCCCTTGCGGGTGGATACTCCCGCCCACCTGACACTGTTCCCCAACAGCCTCCCGGCTACTGCTCAGGCCTAGGAGTGTGTACACTGGCAGCAGCATGAACCCTCAGCCATGCAGGTCACAGAGGGACTGGGACGTGTGTGGGGAACATGGGCCTCCCGAGTCTGGGTGCCGGGAGCACATTCTAGGAGCAGAGTGAGGCATGGGCTCTAGATGGATGTGCCCCCTCAACCATTGACTTCATGTCCCACAGGGAGGGCTGTGACAGGGAATGACAGTGGAGGGGAAGAGCAGGGCCCTCTGAAACACAGCTGTCAAAAGGGGGCCGCAGGGCAAAGGCCCTTCTCGCTGAAAACTTTACTTCTCTGGTAGATCCTCAGTTCCCTGCCATGTCTGCTGGGATAGAAAGGGTTAGGAGGCAATGTGGTAGAAATTGATCCTCTATGAAGCTACCCTTTCGCTCTCCTAAAAGGAATACCCTCTTTCTCCCCTCTGTAAAAATCAAATTAAACTTACACTTGTACCTATTCCACAACTGATTTTGGACTATAGAATTCTGGGAGAATGAGGGTAGTCTCATGGGGACACGGGGGGAAACCTGGAGCACCCAGAGAAGAGCTTGATCGTGCACTGATTCTGCTGGTCACTTCTGCTCCGTCCGAGCTGAAAACCAAGGGCGTTTTTAGACCTTATGAAAAGGAGGAACTTTAATGGGAGGTTCATCAAGATAAGCAAATTTGGACATAGGATGAGAGGGCGGTCTGCTAGGATCTATTAGTTGGCCCCACCTGATGGAGGACCAGTTGAGTTCAGCACCTTCTGTTGACATGATAATATGAAGACAACATTAATGTACGAGGAGGGACCCAAAACACCTGGAATTTATGTATAAAAACTGTGTATTTATTCTTACATGTTTAAACTTAAGTCACCTTCAAAGTACTCTACATTTGATGCAATACACTTACCAAGTTGTTTTTTTCCACTGCTCAGTTTTTGAATTTGTTGATTTTAATGCCTTCTGGTGCTTCTGCTGTTGTTTCACCTCCTCCACAGTGGGAAAATGCTTGCCTTTGAATTTCATCTGAGGAACAAAAAAAAGTTGCTTGGGTCAAGATCAGGTGAATACAGAAGGTGGGGCATGGGGGTCATGCCATTTTTGGTCAAAAACTGCTGAATACTCAGTGTGGTCTGGGTAGGTGCGCTCATAAATCATGCATCATGAAATGGGCAACTGTGTTTAGTCCTCAAAAAAATAATGCACTGAAGACAAGCATAGCCTCTCACAACAACACCAGCTGGTACACTGATACAGGTGGGTTCCTAGAACACTTGCCTACTGGGAGAAACCTGAACTACGAGGGGCCTGCCCTCCAGAAGATAATTCCAGTTTTATCTGGGTCCCCCCTCGTATAATGAGTACCAAGTAGGTACCAAGCACTGTGCTAAATTTGTTGCATATATCAAAGTGTCATATAATTCTATATATTACATAGCATACACTTTATTTATATACAATTATATAGCATACAATTTATATACAATTGTATGTTGTAAATATACTATATATGTTATATAGCACACATTTTATTTATATACATGTGATGTATATAAGTATGATGCAATACAGCAATCCTTGAAGAAGTGAAGCTTCCAAACGGTTCACTAACTTGGCTTGGAATTACGCACTAGTTAAGTGGCCAGTCTTCCTACAGAACTCACATTCTTAACCAGTTGGTAATAACCAATTAATGCTTTATAAAAACAGTCAAATTGGTGGCATTCCAGCAAAAGATAGACCTAGAGGTAACCATGTAATGATATCTTCATCTAATATCCAATGAAAGCTTTTGGCATGCTGAACTGAATGAAGAGAGACGGGCTGAAGGAGGAGCCACCTAGGAAGTAACTGCCAGGAGGGCTTGGACCAGATCCTGGGGAAAGAGAGCTTTGAGAACGTCCTTACCTGCAGGTCAGGGCCAGGGGTATAACTTAAAAGGCAGGTCTCCTGCTGCCACTGGGTGGAAGTGCAATCGACCAGCTAGTGATGCTGCAGTCTACAAAGCTTAGCAGAGTGTGGAAGCATGGGGAATGTCCTCATTCCTAAGTGCTACACCAATAAAAATCTTCAAGAAGCCTGGTCTAGGATTCAGTTAAGAGAGTAATGAATAAATTGCATCCACAAGACTGAATCCAAGAGATGAATGTAGGAAGAGGTCTTCAGAGGGCAATCTTCAGCCCACTTATATTTTTATTAAGACCAAAGAAAAAACCAATCCCTAAGCCCTTTAAGAGTTCTTGTTCTTCTTTAAATCTCCGTCTTTGCTTCCCATAACATTTTCCTTGAAATTGAATGTTGTAGAATGACTTGAAAAATGAAGAAATTTGTTCTTTTGTTCTGAGAAAGAAAAATTAGGAGTCTTGTGGAAATAGAAAAGACAGGCTGGTTGGGCAAAGTACAGGAGTAAAGGGAAGAAGAACCCAAGTAGAAAAACTGCTGGTGATTGTTCAAAGGCAAGTGTGTTCGTTTGCAGGGGCCTGCAGGGGAGAGAGTGTAAAGCCAGTTCGGAGCCTGGGAAGGGATCCTGGGAATTGACTGTGTGTGCTCTGGCCCCTCTTCCATCCCAGTACCGACGCTGAGCTTCCAGTAGCCACTGCTCAGTGGGTGAAGGCTTACCTGGCCGGTGGGGATCGAGACTGGGAAGGGCCCATATCCCTCACAATAAACACGGGATTTGTAACTCCCAAGTTAAAACGTAGAACACAAGAGTTTGCATCCAGCAACTCGGCATGTTGAAAAATAGTGACAGCCTCATAAGGAATAACAGGATGTTGTTTTTCAGAATTCTGTCTTTCTCATATATAAATTTTACTTAAGGGAAAGCACTGTAAACAAATACTGACTTCCACTTGAACACTGCAGCAAGCATATCCTTAGGGGTAAAGTGCACTAACATCTGCAGTACTTCGAAATGCATCAGAATGAGAAGATGGACTGATGGAGGAACAGCCGGGGGAGGGGGGGGGCGGGGTAGTTGGACATATTGAACTAGTACATGCGATCAAGCGAGGTCAGTAAAATGCTAGTTATCGGGTCTAGGTGGTTGTTGTGTGGGTGTTCACAACTTTTCTGTCTCTTTACAGATTTTCATAAGAAGCTCTGGAAAAGATTCTCTCACTAGGCGAAGCTCTTTAAAAAGACAGTACACAGACACAAGATTTCCCACCTGTTTCAATCCTGCCATTTAAAAAGCGAAGCTCACTGAATAATGAGTGCTTTCTTTTATCTTTACCTGTTGTTTGTTTTGGGTTTTTTTGTCTCACCTTTTTCTCTTTGACAGCCCAGTATAGCAAAATACTGGTACTTGATAAAGGCATGTTTCATTACTATATACTTAAAACTTAGGGGGAAGTATACTACGCCACTGTTCTTGTAACATATGTTAATCAGAGAAATCTTGCATCAACTACAAATTCCATTTGACTATATGAAATACATCTGTTCACCACGGTATCTGTTGACTAGTTAACAAAGATTAAGTACAGATTAATATCTATTGTCTCTGAAGAGTTTTTGTTTTCTTTCAAGACCTTTTTAAACAAAAACAAAGAACTGGGGGGGGAAATTACTGAAAAGTAACTAAATAAAATAATATTTTAAAAAAATAAATAAACTGGACCTTAATAATGACTTGAAATCTAAAATACACTAATGTCCAGAAATGACTGCAATTAGTACGTAATAAAATGTACACATTCTATCTTAAAGCATGAGGCCTTCTGTGCCTTCTGTGAGTGTGGTCCTGGGTGTTTAAATTTTAAATCACTCCTTGCAGCTGCAGCTAATTCTCTGCAGTGATTGGGAGTTCGGAATAAGAAGGGAGGAGCCCATTTTTACCTATGTCTTTCATACCCACCAAAACAAAAATAAATGAATAACTCATACAAAACCTTCATCAGGTACAGAACAATGTTAGGCCATGACTGTCTGAGACTCTCCCAAATTAACCCATAATAGTACACTGCTGCAGCTGATTATTTTTCAAATGACCTGCACTTACAGTTAGCCTTGTAGACTTTTTCACCTATGTTATGCTTGTCTAAAGCATTGCAAGATATGTCCACAAATAGTAGAATAGTTGCCAATAATAAATTAAAAGTTATTTAATGAACTTATTTTAAAATATTATGTTTATTTACACTCAATTACTTAAATAGAGTTTGAAAAGACTATTTAGTCGGGGAACTATTGCACTTCAAGATTTTTAAATTAGCAGCTGTATGTGATGAATTCTTTTTATGGTATAACCAGTGCGTTTCAGTACCAGCAAGTATGAACATGTGATGGGTGTCAGTGGCACTGCCGTTCTGAAGGAATAAAACAAACCCCTCATTTCTCAAGAATATAAAGCACAAATGCATGCACCATAAAAATGATTAACTTCAAATCTGCTGTTTATCAAGTGAATGCAATTAGTTTGACTTCCAAAAAAGTAACAAACTCCTGATTTCCAATTATTCTTAGATAATTTTAGGATACCGATATTACTGAAATATTGGACATGTAAACCAGTTTGCTAACTCAATGATTAATTACCTTGCTCCAACTTTGACTACTGAAGAGATTTAAAATGCCAGAAATTAAAACCCCTTTGCAGAATATGCAGCCCATGCTTTTTTTAATGAAAAAGAAATCATTTTGGCACAGCAGCAGTGTGGGTTTGTGAAAAGCCCTTTGTCACTAACAGCCAAGCCTCCTTCTAGGGAGATAAGAATAATAGTTTCAGTATTAGAAATAGGAGCTATCTAAAGAAAACAATATGTAACATAACTGGTATTTAGGGAATTGCTTGCTATTTTTAAACAAACTATTTACTAAGTAAAACTGTTTTCCCCTTTCTTTTGAAAAACATGAAAACCTTGAATGTATTCAGATAAAGAGAACAAAAACAATAGTTACCACTTTTTAAAATACCACATTTTCATTTGTATTTAGAAAAACAGAAAAGGAACAGCAGTTAGTTTCCCTGAGAGTAGTGAGAGTAAAAGTCCGTGGAAAGAAAGTAGAGCACAAAAAGCACATACCCTCTGCAACGAGGCAATGGAGAATATCATCTATTGTACAGACGACTAGAAATCCAACTTACCTCCCTCTGACAAAGGCATTGGTGGGGATGCAGGAAGGGGTAAAGTTGGAGAGCAGGTTAAGAAGCCCATCAGAGCTCTGAGTTGCAAGCAAAAAACTCTGCATGAGACAGGTATGTTTCAGACCTACCTTCTCCCCAAGGATGCGCATCTCTCAGAAATCCTACCTTAGGTCATCAAACTTCAACCATTCGACTAGTGGGACCCACATACTGGCTTCATGCTACTGAGAGTAATTCCAGGAGTCATTGTGACTCTTAAATATCTGCAGTCAGTTGTCCCGTGAGGCTTCCTGAACCATGGCCCCTTTTAAGGGATGAACTGTGCAGCCCATCAGAAAAAAAAGTTCTCTTTACATGAGACTACTGCTAGAGAGCAAGCAGGCACAACAAGCCAAGTTGTACCAAAGCTTCCTCTAATCACCCAGTCGAACATACATGCTTTTAACACAAGCTGCAGGAGAGCTGTTACTGGGTGTGACTCTCGAGCTGCTTTTCAATCTGCAAAATTTTTAACACATCACACAAGGGTTATAATTCCCTAAAAGGACTTCTAATCTGAAAGCAGACAGAAATTTCAAAAAAGAGACAAAGACATAACCGACATAACCTGCATCTTGGCTGCCTTTCTAAACTACTCTCCCAGAACAGAATCTTTCCTCCCTTCTGGTAAACACATGCTTGTATACATTACAATAAAGAGTATATCCATTAACAAGATGATGCTCTCCTGTTATCAACAAATCAACCCCAAATCCAGGACAGGCTCACCATTTCTCCAAACAGGCATTTGGGGTACAGGCTTTGGAAGAAAAAAAAAAACAAAGACCACAAAAATGCAAGCCAAACGGAAGAGACACTGTAACCTAGGAGAACGCTCTTAGCTAGGCTTTCAGACTGAAGGTACCACACACGCCACCGCCTCACTTTTGTTCCAGCGTGAGATAGATCCACGGGTGCCCGGCGTGGTGACAGACAAGGGGCATTAAAGCCACACAGTCAGTTTTAGCAAATTAAGTAAATTAGAGATCATTTGATGGGATTCTATTGTGGCTTTGTAATCACAGTCATTCTCCCTGGTAATGGTGCTTCGTGACGACGAGCAGTTCTCACAGGATAATTGTGAAAGATACCGAAAGATTCGGGGATGCAGCATCTGGCTTTAAAAAAAAGCTCTTCAGATTCAAATTGGCATTTTACTTTATCTTGAAAATTTATTAGAGATTCAGATCATGCCGATTTAAATGGAAAGGTGAAAGCAGGGTAATTTCAATCTATGAATTATTCACTCTGAGCCTGGCGAAATTGCCATCCATGAGCTGATGCTCTGACAGTGTCTTCAGAGAGCCTCCATTATGCTTGTCATTTTTATTTCTTTATCTACGATCTCTCTCTCGGTTACCGAGCTCGTCCCTTAGGGCTTGGCTTCACAAACCAAAGTATTTCGAATTGGCATTAACCTAAATATGCTGCTGTCTCAAATGGCTGTCTCCACAGGCTGTCTTTTTTTATTTTCCAAATCATTAAAACCACATCCATGATGATATCTGCTAGGCTGTTCGATCAGATGAATTAAAGCACACACACTTACACACGCCCACACACGGGCATCACTGCGAGGGAGAGTTAGGTTCCGCTAACATCACAAGAGAAGAGAAAGTGATGCTTTCTGCTTCCTTCTTTGTTGTCAGTGTGACCCGTCCTAGTGGCACAGCACGCATCACGCAGGAGGGAGCCAGTGGTAACGCAGCCTTGCCTGGCACCCTGACTTGCAGCCAGAGCAGATGAAGCCTGCATGGAAGGCAGACTAATCCAGACAACTGTATACTTAGCGAGCATGATTATTTAGGAAAATAAGAAGAAGCCATCGGATGACCGAAATTAGACTGTCATTCTCCCAGCTCCACCTGCACCCACACTGCAGTCACAGCGGTTCTCCACTTGATGGCTGCTTGGGTCACTGCTAGTCGACAGCTGCCCCGCATCCAGAGAGGGCTGGGATTGATTTAGGTCAGGGAGTCTGGCTTCTCCATTAAACCGTGTTCTAACTGAGGACTGGGGATCTGAGCCAGCTCCTGGGACCACCAGCCTTAACTGTGAGCTGGGAGAGCCACACAGCATCACTTCGGTGGAGTTGCCTGCACAGGCCCCGGCCAGACCCACCGTGGCAAGCATCGCCTCCTTTGTCCTAGCCTTTATTCCTGCAGGTCTAGCTGCGTGGCATGAGAAGCCCCCAAACTATTCCCGCCGGTGGAGTTAAACCAGCCGCACTCTGCCAGGCAGTTTGGCTACGAGGCTCCGAGCAGTACCTGCTCTGCTGAAAATTCACGCTGCCAAGTTAGAAGCCATCGTGTACATTCAGACTGCTTCTCTGCCGCTGGCTACGCAAAGGTAAACACTCCTCGTGTGCGAAAGGCTAAGTGGTAGCCGGAAAGAACACTTTAAAACTCGGTCGCTCTGTGCCCAGTCCTCTGCCTTGGCTCTGCCGCATTGCGACTGGGAAACTGCAGGACTGGAGCTCTGGCAGTTGTGATACTGCAGAGAGCAGCGGCTATGACACAGCAGTCAGCTGACTTGCAGGGTGTTATCATTCAATGTGCTCTACAGAATCAGGCCGGTGGCTGAGGTGGCACCAGACAGATGACCGGGATTGTGAAGCATGGCTCAGGAGGGCAGCCTTTCTCCATCCACACTGGGCAGCGATTCTGCACACCTGGCCGGGACATCTTACACTGCTTCTCTCTCAGGCGGAGTTTTTAACTCACAGCCTCAGGACTTAACTATTTCTATCCTGCTTGCTAAGTTGGCAGGTAATTCTTGGGATGACCATATCGATGGGATAACAGGTTAAAATCATCACTTTTCCTATCATTTTGGGTTAGTTTCAGTGTCAAAAAAATTTGTGGGAGAATGCCTGTCTGTGTTTTGGTTTTAAAATCACACTTTTTTTTTAACAGGTAGAAATTGCCTTAAGCTACTTGTATGCTGTAATGAACTAGGAAATTGTACCTAATGGAATGGTAAGAGCCATAGGAAAAACTGGGAGGTAAATCATTCCAGCAGGAGCCTGCAATTGCGGTCCAGTTGCTATAAAGCATTGTGCTGCTCTATTGCAAAATGCCGGTTGTGCATCCCAATTAATCTAACAATGGAACAGAAACCTTATATGGCATTACCCCAGTGAGTTCAGGAATGCTAAAATAAGAAGGCAGTCATTACCAGGCATTTGTTTAATGACTGTAATCATACTGAATTAATTTAACTTGCTGCAATGTTTAACAGAAAGTCAATTATGAATTTGCGCTAAAAGAATAACAATACCAGTATTTGCATAGCACCTTCCTCTGAGGAGACATCCTCTGAAGACAAGCCCACATCCTCGAGGTGGGCACTCAGAAAGTGCTAAGTGCTCTGCTGAGCAGTCCGGGGCCAGCCTCTCTGAGGACAGGGGCTCAGGGTTCTGAGTCAGGATGACCTGCACACATGGCACGAGCAGCATACAGAGGAGGACCACACTGACCTAGGCCAGTCACTCTGTGGATTCGGTGATGCCTTTACCCATTTGTGTTCTATGAATTTTATTTTTCTGTTTGCTTCTTATTCAGTTCTCTTGACATGAATCCTGCTCCAAAGAAGTTTGTAGATAGCAAACAGAGAGGTCAGAACTAGCTGAAACAGCATCATCCCCAGAACTCTAGAAGTAGTGTAAGTGTTAAGTGACACTGGAAAAAAACAACTGATTTTACTCAGAGGCGGGGGGCGGGGCTGGGAGGGAGGCCTGTGGGTCCGCACTGAGAGATGTTCCCTGCAGAGGGCCGCATGGGGGCCTCTCTTCAGCACCTTCTCTGGTTCTCATTAGAGAATCCAAGTCTCGTAAACTCACCTTGCCACCTTGTCTTTCAAAACCTGCTTTCAGGAAATGAGTCCCAAATGATACAATAACCAATAACTAATATTTTTTTATTTTTCAATTACAGTTGATATTCAATACTATATTAGCTTCAGGTGTATGTCTAGTGGTTAGACATGTATATAACTTATAAAGTGATACCCTGGGAAGTCTAGTGCCCACCTGGCACCATCCATAGTTATTACAATATTATTGACTCTGTTCCCTATGCTGTACTTTACATCCCTATGACTACTCTGTGACTACCAATCTGTACTTCTTAATCCCTTCACTTTGTTTTAACTACTCTCCCAAACTCCCTCCCCTCTTGCAACTATCAGTCTGTTCCCCGTGTCTGAGTCTGTTCCCATTTTTGTTTGTTCATTTATTGTGTTTAGATTTTACATATAAATGAAACCATATGATATTTGTATTTCTTTGTCTGACTTATTTCATTCAGCATAATACTCTCTAGATCCATCCATGTTGTCACAGTGGTTAAGATTTCATTCTCTTTTATGGCCAAGTAATATTTCATTCTATATACATAGCACATCTTTATTCATTCATCTGTGGATGGACAATTATCCACAGATATCCACCATATCTTGGCTATTGTAAATAATGCTGCATTGGACATAGGGATGCATATATCTTTTCAAATTAGTGTTTTGGATTTCTTTAGATAACAGTGTAATTCCTCTGAGGTACTTATACATTTTAAAGGGGAAAAAAGCTTCTAGAAAAGGTATAGCTATCTAATTGGGGAATTTCAAGCACCAACTCTCCAGATGGGAAATCATTTCCAAGGGTCAAGGGGGGTTCCTGTCCCTTCATCAGATGGCAGGTGGTCTAGGCTCATGGTACCAACCACCCAGTGGGGTAGGTAAGTGTTGTCCTAGAACCCCCTAAAGCCAGCATGTGCCACAAATGTGGGTGATCAGTGTGGGTCCCTGGGGCAGCATAGACTCCGGCTGCATCTTTCAGCCTCCTCAGTACATGCGATCTTGGCTCATAAATTTTCTTAAGTCCTTGCCCACCAAGGAAAAAGTGGCCCAAACACTGGTATTTTGAAAAACCACCCCTAGGTAATTAATTCTACCCTGTACCCAAGATAGAGAACTACTGATAGAATATGCAAGATTCCTTTTTGCACATGTGAATTTGAAAACGTATGCATTTTAGTTGAACTCAAGAATAAAAAAATAAAAGTCATTAAATTTATCTCTGTTACAATTCTATACAAATCAACAAAAAGGAAATGATTTTAATAGAGAAAGTCTATGTGTCTGTGATGCACCCACATGTCCTCTGCAGCTGAGGGCAGTGCAGCCAGCGGCCAGTCATGCCCTCCACAGCTCCTTATTCCTCTCTCTCTTCCAGCACTGGCCACCTGGTGTGGGGACTTTCTGTCCCCCTAGAGTCCTCCTCAGTGCACCGGCAGGCTCTTCCAGGGCCGGGGCACACCTCATTCATTTGATGGCCCTGGGCCTCTGCTCTGCCTGGCACGTGGCAGGCATGTCTTCACTATTTGTGAAAGGAATGAGGGGATGCTGAAGGACAGCTTCCTGCTGGAGAAGAAAGCTCAGAGATATCCAAGTTTCCAACATGAGAATATCAAGCTTTTCTTTCACTGTAGACTATCCCGAAATCATATGCTTCCCAAGGACTGAACGAAGGCTAATTCTCAACTATCAACGTTGAGTCAAAGCCTAAGTAGCATAGCATTTAAAAGGGTATGTACGTGAAAAAATGAATGTTTATGAAAATCAAAACTCTATATGTATTTAATAGCTAATAAACTTCATTGACTTTTAGATACTTTTTAGAAAAATGAGGCATCCTTTGTATTTTGGAGAGTGAGGCCAATGAAGTGTTGGCTCTTCACGCCTTTTCTAAAAATCTGCCCTCTCCAGCATAGATAAAGGTAAAAGTCTGTTCTTAAGCCCTCTGAAATCTCCATTTTGATACATACACATCCTTTTTGGGTTTTTTAATTTAATTTAATTAATTTTTTTATTTTTGATCCTGCACTCTCTGGCAGTCTTGTGAAGTTTGGTTACTTCTCAATAATGCCTTTATATAGAAATGCAATATACAAATAGGAATACAAAGGAAACTAACTGTATCAAATATCCTAGCTTAAGGAACTTTGCCATAGAAAAATCAAAATACTTTCGGATAAAATCACAAAGTGACTTTGATTGTTCCAACTATTACCCAATAATAAAATTAGTTCAAGAAGAGCTTGGACAAGGCAAAGACCTGAGAAGGAAAAGAGATGACTATGTTTACTGAGTTCAGTAAACTTGAAACTGAATGTTTCTTCTCCAACAGTGACCTTCTCAGTGACTAGCAGATTCCCATTTTCACATTTAACAAAAATACTGTACTTTCAAAACTGTCAAGTCTCATTTTATAAACCCTTCCTACGACTTTAAAGGGAAAAAAATGGAAGGTGAACTGATTCTCTCGAATTTTGTTTTGCAGATGAGGGAGGAATTTGAAGCTCAAAAAGACTGAATCTTGCTACAGCACCATGTAAGTAAAGAAGTACTAGAGCCCAGGACACAATTCTCTTAAACCTACATCAGACCACATCTTATCACATATTTAGTCAATGATACGCAGCAGTGGTAAAAGCTCAGTACTAAACCATCGGCAGCTTGAAATGAACCATAGTGGGACTATGGAAATCAACAAACATGGAAACATCAGGACTATTGTTTTTCTTTTCCAGGGATGTGGTTTACATGTTCTAATTATTTAATGGTACCAACTTGTAATCATGTGTTCCTTTATTTCAATCCCAGAATTCAAAATGCTTCTGAACATAAAGTACAATGGTTAAACATAAAATTCTTCGGTCAGAGGGCCTATCTTTGGATCCTATACCACTGATAATCTCTGTGACCTTGGATACGTTCATTCACCCCTCTGGCACTCAACCCCTCTGAAAACAGGGCTGATAACACAGTGTGCCTCCCAGGTTGTTGTGTGTATTCATGAAGTGGTGCGTAAAGCTACTAGCATTGGATTCTCATCCCAGCTCCCAGTGGCTGTTGGCCATGATTCTTTTCCCCTTCATCCTGCTCCCCTTTCTTTTTCTTATTCAACTGGTCACCGTGACAGATTAATATTATTTGTACTGAAACAAGGAAAACAACTTTTAAAGACTACAGGCAAAAAACAAAAATAGAAAAACTATATACAACTAACTTGGGATTTTAGAGAATGGAATGTCACCTTCTGTTTCTTGACTCTTGCAGAACATAGAGTTTTGATAGGTCGGTGTTATTTTTGCATAAAGTCTGTTGATCTAAGAGAGCATCACAATTCACCAGAGAAATTACTGATAGACATAGTTTCAGCATGTCTTTAGAGATATTCAAGAAGCTACATTAAAACCATATACTGTATTAGGGGCCACTCTATGCAAAATATATAATCGGGCCTCTTGCTTACGTGGTTACAGAGCCTCATTCACGAATTTGTTTTCACTTGTGGAGTCTGATGGCCAATTTGCAAACCTACTGTGACATACTGTATTTTTCATAGCTAATAATCCCTCTGTTAAAGAGGCTGAGCTTTGGGGGAAGAGGCTTTACCTGGAGGCCCTGGGGGACTTAGTCCACAGAGGCCAAGGAGTTGGAATGCCAAGCTGGCTCTGTCCATCGAGTGTGAGCTGGAGAGACACCTTCTCTTCCCCTTTCTGTTGGCACTGGCATGCTCATGGGACAGGCCCCACAGATTCTGTCCCTTCTGTTGGGGCTCTCTGCAGGCAGAGTGCCACTGAACACAGGACCACTGTTGTAGAGAGAGGGCAGAGAAGCAGGTGTGGAGCAGTGGGGCAGGACCATTCTCACTGCCACCCCTCCCAGCCCAAACACAAAATGGTAATGCAATGTTATCACCATAGTAGCCTAGGCTCAAATGGAGTCCCATGGGAATACAAAATAAAACCATGCAGTTTTTATACACTGTTACAGGCAGTGTTCGGTCAGTTCAAAAAAAGGATGGGTCACCTACCTGCTTGTCCTGCCTCCTTCCACAGGTTGTAGGTTGCCTGGACCACACCACTTTGTACTTGCTCATTTTCAAAGCTAAAACATCGCTCCCAGAATATGGCATCAGATGTGACAACAGGAAGCTTCCACATGGCCAGGCTGCAGCCCAGGGGACATCGGCCTTGCAGCACCTGAAGAAAAAGCTGTTTTAAACCATTTCTACATAATAACAGAATTGCAAAAAAAAGAGAAATAATTACAATTTAGTGCTTGCCTACAGTGTGCCAGGTAGATGTGATAACCTGCCCAATCACAAATACATGTAAAGGGTTTTCTGTGTCCAGAATTCCAAATGTTTTATATACGATAAGTCATTTAATCCCCAAAACAACCCTGTAAGGAAGATATTACTCCCACAGCAACTCTATTAGGTGAGAACTATTATGCCTCTTTCACAAATAGGAAAATGGAAGCATAAAAAAGTGAGTACTACTTAAATCTCATATCTGGTAAATATGGGCCCGTGGATTCAAACCCATATTGTCTGAGCTGGACTCAAATTCAGATCTGTACTCTTGACTATTAATATTCACATATGGGCTTCCTACAAACTGGTGTGCAGTTGTAACAGTCTCCGCATGGGTTGGAAGAGCCCCATGAAAGAAGGGAAACCAGACTTGGAGTCACTCAGGGGAAGGGGCAAAGTTTAAGAGTTGGTAAGTAGGGAGAATTATTATTAGAGAACTAGGAATAATCAGAAAAGCAGGCTTTTCATTAAAGTGTTCCTTTAACATGAACTCAGCTGTATGCTAGTAAATTGGCTCTCTGGGGCAGAGGGGGAAACCTTGGCTTACAGTGTTTTGCCAATTTCCAGGGTGTAAATAATCCCACCATGGCTGATTTCAAGATTCCAACAGTTTCACAACCTGTTTGCAAAATTCCTAAATATTTAACAATCATTTCTCACTAGCCAGTTGGAAGTGGCTTCAGCACACCACAGTTTGGGGCCCAAGTGGTGGGTTGCACTCCCCCCCTCACAGAAGCACATGTTGTTGTATCACACCCACGCACACAGGACGGACTTCGTGCTACCCACACAGCTCTCAGAGCCGTGTCCGGGATCTTTATTGCTCTCCCTCCTAAACTGTACGCTTTTACTTGTTGTGTTTAATGAAAGTTGTTTTTACTTTTCCTCTGGACTTTAAAAGGAAGGTGAGACATTTATATTTCTCTTCCATTGACCACTTAATAAATCTAACAGATGGGCGTGGCTTTTTAGAAGTGACCCTTAATTGGGTAAAATGAAGTCAGTCAACCTGTGGGAGACCTAAGGAACCTGCAGATATATGTTTACACATGTCTGTGAATATGTGCATAGGTGCTGTTGACAATATTTATAGTGAGCCTTGCAAAGCCAGGGACATGCACACACACACAGCACTCACCATTTTGGAGCTGCACCTGTTCCACGCTTTCTTATACACCAGCAACACACAACATTTTGGGGGTTCCTACAGCCATGCAGGTCATTCCTAAGAACAAGAATTGCCATGAGGTCATGATATGAATTCATACCTAGCAAATTAAATGGCAATTACCCTTTGAGAAACCATGTAACTCTAAGGATAATCACCATGTTCTGGTAATTTTTTTTAGATCTTTGGGGGTACTAATTTGTAAACCATGTATAACCAAATGAATCATTACATAGCAAGGAGCTGAAAGGTAATTATGAAATAACTGCATGCTATTTGATCTTTTCATGAAAACATGTTTAATAGAATATTCCTTTAAACTATTTCTTGTACCTGTGGAACACTTTAAGGTTATTCTTTTTTCTTAGCTCTATTTAATGCTCTTTTAATAATATTTGGTAACTTACACTAAAGTGTCGGCCATAAGTATGGGTTAGAAACTTGGTACCAAATGTGATTTTTTTCAGCACATTACGTAAGCTTTCTTCACTTTTATTATTTTTATTTTATTTTTAAAATGTTATTAAATGTGTTGGGGAGACACTGGTTAATAAAATTATATAGGTTTTGTATGCACAACTCTATAATACACCGTCTGCATACTGCATTGTGTGTCCACCACCCAAACCAGGTCTCCTTCCATCACCACGTATCTGACCCCCTTCACTTCTTCTACTTCTCCGCACCCCCCCTTCCCCGGGCAACAGCCTATGAGTTTTTGGCTTTTTGTCTTGTTTGTTCATTTGTTGCTTTCAGTTTTATATCCCACATGAGTGAAATCATACGGTTCTTGGCTTTTCCATCTGACTTATTTCACTCAGTGTGATATGCTCAATATCCACCCATGTTGTTGCAAATGGCAGTACTTCATCTTCTTTGATGGCTGAGTAGTATTCCACTGTGTACACGTACCACATTTTCTTTAGTCAATCATGTATGGAAGGGCACTTCAGTTGTTCCCATGTCTTGGGCATCGTGTATAATGCCGCAGTGAGTGTAGGGGTACATGTATCTCTCAAATAAGTGTTTTCAAGTGTTTTGGATAGACACCCAGAAGAGGGATTTGTTGGGTCTTATGGTAACTCTATTCTTAATTTTTTGAGGAATCTCCATACTGTTTTCCATAGTGGCCATACCAGTCTACATTCCCTCCAGCAGTGAATGAGGCTTCCTTTTTCTCCATAACCACTCTGATACTTACTACTTGTGTTGTTGATAATAGCCATTATAACAGCTGTGAGATGGTTTCTCATGGCTTTGATTTGCATTTCCATAATGGTTAGTGAAAGTTACTTCACTTTTAAAAGTTGATCATTAGCCCTGACCAGTATGGCTCAGCAGTTGGGTGTCGTCCCACTAACGGAAAGGTGGCTGGTTTGATTCCTGGTCAGGGCAATGCCTGGGTTTCAGGTTTGGTCCCTGGTCAGGGGGTGTATGGAAGGCAACAAGTTGATGTTTCTCTCCCTTTCTTTTTCCCTCCCTCTCCATCGACCTAAGGTCAAAAATAAAATTAAATTAGAAAGTTGATTACTAAATAAAATCTACTTTGGAAAAATACATAGTGGTTCCAATTTCTTGTTTGTTATTGCAGGGCTCTTTCTAGCATTTGTACATGCTTGCAAAATGCTTTCAAAGTATCACTAACTCTGTATGCCATTTCATTCTAATAACAAGTCTGGCTTTCCCTTCTGTCTCTCTTTCCCCTCCTCTCTCTCTCCTCTCATTTAAGGAATGGAAACTAATAAAGGTCACAGATGAAAGTAAATACATGCATATATATGGCACGGGGGAGAGATATTTGAGCTAGGGGACAGAAGACTGGGCATATCACCTTCTCTAGCTCAGGTTTATTCATTTAAGCTGCGAATGAAAACATTTTGTGAGTAATGCACACAATTTTATAATGCGAGCCAATGTCCTTTGAAGTGTGAAATGCTATTTTTTAATATAAGCACTAATATAATTGTGTTCCTTAAATTCGGAGTGAGTCTAGATACATAAAATGATCTAGTTGTGTATGATGCTCACCCTGCACCGCACCTGGACCAGTGGACTCAAACTCAATTTCACCGAAGGCCACATCAGCCTCTTGGTGGCCTTCAACGGGCCAAATGTAATTTCAGGACTGTTTAAATGTAACTACCGTATTTTTCAGACTATAAGATGCACTCCCCCTCCAAATCTGGGAGGAAAATGGGGGTGTGTCTTAGAGTCCGAATGTAGCTTACCTGGCTCACTGTGGCAAGGCAGGGGGCAGCAGCCTATGTTATTTATGTTATTAAATATTTTACCACATTTTTGCTTCAAAAATTATTTTCTATTTTCCTCCCCTAACACTTAGGTGCGTCTTATGGTCTGATGTGTCTCACAGTCCAAAAAATTCAGTACTTCTTAACTGGGGGCAAGAAGCTCAGCGCTGCCAGCGGGGAGAAACGAGGTGGAGGGCTGGATTCTGCCCACAGGCCTTGCCGTTGCCGCCGGCGCCCTAGACCCCGCCTTTCATTCCATCCTGTCTCTGACCATTTGTTGTTCTAATTATGTGTTACAAATGGTCAAGAACAAAAAACTTCAAAAAGCCAAGTAAGTATCTGGTAGGAAAAATTATTCTTCTGTATCTTAACAGTTTAATTTAATTATTCTTTCACCTCTACCTTTAGGAAAGTTTAGGATTTTTCCTTGAAAGATATTGCTTGCTACAATTCATTAGCTACAGAAGTGGTCTAAGAGTAAAAATTGGCAAGAATTAGAACTTTCCAATACCACTGGCATTCTTAATACAGTCTAGTTGTGAAACTTAGATGTATAATTATGTTACACTTGCGATTGAAACTCACGCTGCTCCGTGCCTTTGTGAAAATACGTACTCACGAAGTGTTTTGCCCAAGTGACTCAGGTCTCTCTTATTCTCAGAGGATGTGGTGCTGGGGAATAACCATCCCAGGGGAGACACGGACCCACAGGAACTTGCCTTGACTCAAATCCTTCCTGTCACTGCTGCTTATTCCACTGATTATGAAAAGTGGAACCAGCCATTTTTTATTGATTTCATCCCTGAACATAACCACTGTTCCCATGATAAGTTAAATATTGTGACAGCCACCCAAGTTATTTCTTAACTATAAAAGGGCAGAAGTAGTCAGCATTATTATATTAAGAATCATATAATGAGAAAACCAAGACAGAGCCAGTAAAAATCAGGTAGAATTTAGGTTCACAGTGTCATAGTGCATTCAAGTGATTTAGCAGGAGAACACACCTGTGAAAACTAGACTTTGTAACAGATTGATGAATGCTCTCTGGATGCGCATCAGATAAATGAGCAGTCCTTAAGATACAAGCAATCAACAAAGCACCCAGTTTGTCAACTTCCTTGACTTATAAAAATGGCTGCCACTGAGAGAGTTTTATATTTTGCACTTCCTGGGCATAGCCAACTTTTCTGGAAACTAAGGAAGGAGGTGGAGATATCATATGTTAAATATTCTTTTAAGAAGTGTGGTTTAACAAAGACTCATTAGAAGTAGTAGTTTTAAAGGTACATATTTCTACAGTTGGGGTCTTAGAAGGGTTATTTATTTCTGTAGGGTGGAAAATTAAAAATAATTTTATTGGCTGAGGAGAAAAATTAGTAGAAAGTGATATGTTGGAGATACAGGAGATAGGAGAGCCAACTGCTGGAGTTCCAGAGGAGACATGGCTCAGGATCAGAGCCAAGGTGGCGGAGTTGGCCTTGAGCATCCTTATCCTCTGAAACAGAAGGGAAGGTGGTATGGTTGTGGGAAGGAGCTACTGGTTCCTGTTTGTCAGCATGTGGGCTTTAGACTTTAGAGCAGTGTTGCAAATATTCTTCTAATCAGAAAAGACAGAGACTATTATTCCCTAGACATACATATTGTGATACTAATTCATGCCATTTAATCCAAGACCGAATCAGCTTTTTAGATAATAGATCATTTTTCCCTGGGAAATAGTATACTATAGAGGTAAATAATAAGGGCTGTAGCTTTTTGATCAAATTTTGACCTACCCACTTTTTAGCTATAGGAATTTGGTTATGTTACTTATAATTCTTAGCTTTCTCAAAAATAAAATAGGGACTATACTGACAATATATCTTCCTTATGGAATTATGAGAAAACTAAATGAGATGATTAATAGTGAACATTCCAGAAATGTGAGATATTATTTTGATCACTGTTACTACTCTTGTGATAAATTAAAATTAATAGCATTATAGGACACCACTATTAAGAAACATTTTCCCCATTCTGTGTACAGTTAATGCTTTAGACTTGGGAAAAGACTTCAACCCCTATTGAATTCTGCATGTTGGATTCATTTTATTATTCCATTTTCCACAGACCCTTCTGCATTCTGATTCCATCATTCAGGGTATTTATTGTCCTCCTCGGCCTGTGTGATCTGTGAATCTTGGGAGGCTCCTGTGACAGCTAATGCTGTTACATACCCTGTATCCATTTTCACCTTCCTCCTTACTGACAAATGCTTGGTTTAGTTCAAGTATAGCAATAAACTCAGTTAAAGTGCCCTACATCCCAGGATCACTTGCAGCTAGGGTGGTCATGTGATACAGTTCTGACCAATGAGGTAAAAGCAAAAGCCACTGGGCAGGCTTCCAGGTAAGCTTATCAAAGACGCCACACCCATGAAAATGAAAGCCAGACTTTAAGAGTAATGCTGACAAAAAAACATAACCTGGGGCTGGATGCCACCATGCAGCCACTGTGCAAGCCCTTCACTGTGTATCACCAGAGTTCTTGTCATGTGAGGAAACAACCTCTATGTCATGAAGCCACCATCATTAGGTTCTGTTATATTTAGCAAATGCAATTTTTACCTGTTACAGATGCCATCTGTAGTCTCATCTATATAATTTTGGGGAAAAGAAATCTAAATAGAACAGTGCTAAAGACAGAACATATCATTACCAACCATCCTCCAGCTTGGGGTTTTTTTTTCTCCAGATATACTGGGATATAACTAACATATAACATTGTAAAAGTGTAAGGTGAACAATGTGGAAATGTGATATATAT